CCCCCCCCCCCCCCCCCCCCCCCCCCCCCCCCCCCCCCCCCGGGGGGGGGGGGGCCGCGGGCGTGGGTCCAAATTTCTACCCTATATACTTCAACACTCCTTTCAGATCGTGTTTCACAAAAAATATTTTCTATCTCTTAGAAAATCCATGACAAGCTTGTTAGAGGAAGTATAATAAAATGAAACACCATAAAATAACTTACTCTAAAATTTTAAATTCTTTTTCCAATGATCTCATTTGATTTTCAAGTTTTTGAACAGTGTGTTTTAAAGTTTCTAAAGTGCGTTTGAGTTGATTAATTTGTTCTTTTCCTTGGGTAATTTGCTGTTGTAGTAATGCGACTTGTATTTGGATTTGAACCATCTTGGATATAGCTTCCACTAGTTTCTGTTGTAAGTCGAGTTTGTATGTCGCCAATTCTTGTTTTCTATTACGTTTCATCTCTATGGCTTGTTCAATCCTTTTAATCATATCTTCGATTTGATTAATTTTTTCATTAATTTCATCCATATTTTGTTGACATTCTTGAAGTTTTCTTTCGGTTTCTTCGAGTTTTTGCTCTATTCTTGCCAATTCAATTTCTAAATCTTGCATTTGTCTTTCGATACGTTGAATTTCAAGCTGTAATTGTCGGATTTCTTCTTGCAAGCGTTCAATACGAGCTTGCAGTTCTTGTATTTGATGTTCTATTTGTTGTACTTGGCGATTGACCTCTTCTAGTTCTCGTTCTATTTGTTGACGTAATTCTTCCAAACGTTCACGTTGTTCTTCGAGTACTTGCTTTGCGTCTTCTAATTTTTGAAGTTGATCTTGCAATTGCTCGAGACGTTGTTTTTCTATTCGAAATTTTTGTTCTAAACGATCTCGTTCTTGCTCTTTCAGTTGAATTTCATTTTGTAAACGCTGCTGTTCATCTTTTATAGCATCTAATTCTTGTTCCAGTCGTTCTATTTCAGCAGTCATACGTTTTACTTCTTCCTCAAACTTTTTTATTTCATTTTCGCATTGTTGGGTTTGTTGTTTCAATTCATTAATATATCTCTGCAATTTGTTTTCTTTTTCTTTATCGAGTTGTTGCTGTTTAGTAAGATCTTTGATTTCTGTATCAATCTGTTGAATCAATTCATGATGATCATCGATATGGACATCAGCTGCATTGTATTCATTTTGTTGAGAATCAGGGTTTGCATAAGACGTTGCCATCAAATTTGGATACGCTCAGACTTTCAAAAAATGATGAATTAAAAGAAAGTAGACAGAAATATGGCAATGATAGTATTTTTATACTTCGTTGACAACCACTGAAAACGACTGGTAATTTTTTCAGTTATATTGAAATATCCAACGACGATAAATTCGCCCTGAAAAAGCAAATAAAAAAAACGATGTTCGATGACCAATAATACGTCGCGTCACAAGGGTGTGGGGTGTGGGGTGTAGATGTGAGTGTGGGTGTATGCGTGGGTAGGAGTGGACCATTTAATTTAATTCGAGTTAATTAACGGCGTTAATTAACTAAAAGCATTAACCGTTAATATTAACGAATACGTTAACGTTAATTTTAACGTTAATGGTTTTTACTTAACCGTTAATTTATTAGAAATTAACGCATTAACGTATAAACAACAGTGAGATCGTTTTATTTCGATTTTTGTTTTTCATGGAAAAATCAGCATTCACACAATAACTGTTTTC